GTTAAAGGTAAGACTTGCCAAAGTACTTATCGTAGTTTCGGAAGGTTCTTATAATTGATCACCTGTATATTTAGTTTATTTGTATTTATTTAATTTACCCAGGAACTGAGTTGGTAAAGCTTTGGGCTCAGAACCGAACGGTCCCGCGATCAGATCACTTTTCTTTTCTTCAAAAGTTGATAAGTGAGTACCACCCAATGGAGAAGAAACAAGAGACTACGCTCTATGCCTGCTATATAGCTGCTGTATACTCTGCCTTAGAAATAAGGCACTCCTGGCATATGACATAGAAATGCATCTCAGTGCTCCACCATTTACTTATTGAAATGAAAGGCGCCAGAATTGCTACATCATGAAATTGTAAGGAAGACCGATATTGCAACAGTTTCACACTTTTCTCCCTACTCTATTTTTATAATTTGCAGAGTAATCACTACCAAACTGAGCTTAAGGGAAGCGCTATGCTGACTGAAATGCATATCATTTTCTGGTTAAACACTACATTCTTTTAGTGGTTTTTGTTCCGTTTTATTCTCTGAAACCGAAAGGTTTAAAGATTTATCTTGCCTTTTTTTGGATCTTTGTGAAATAGAGAACCTGAATTCCTTAATTGATCATGATGTCTTTTGGTTTGCCTAATGTTTCAAGAGAAGCGTCAAATAAGTCTGTCACTAGTCCATAATTTAGTCCTGAAAAACAGCAATATCAAAACATGTTTATGATGCAAATGCGTAGACTAGCTGACCTTTGCTTCCCAATGGATGGTTCTAGAGAACAACTGAAAACGAAAATATAAAATCCTTCAGAGCAGCTTGATACGTTTCGACGCCACACAGTTGCGTCATTATCAGGGTTATATGGTACAGGTAATGTATAATATTATCTGCTATCAATGCCGCAGCACATAGATACCTTCACACCTAATCACGTAACTAAACTATTGAGTAAACTTTCCTCACTCTGAATGCGTATTTTTCTGGAATTTAAACTTATTAGCGTAGAGGTAGATATGGAATTCCATGAAAAATTATGGAGAAAATCAGGTGAACGCGAACCGCAGGGCGTGACATTCGTAGGTTATGGCAAACTTACTAAATTTCTGTTCATGGACGCATCGAAAATTTTTCAGCTGACGGAACCAAAGCTAATAAAACAACTGCTGGTTTGTTATAAACTCCCTAGCGAGTACTTGAGTCTGTAGGATAGTGTTGCTTTTAACTCAATATATAAAGACCTTGAGCATGTGAAATCAATTTAATTTGGCAGGTTTGATAAATTTTGTGCTTGAACTGCTGGAAAAAGAATTCAAGACACGATAAAGGACTTAAGAGCTATGTCAAATTATTGAATAACAGTTAGCCTTCAGCGTTAGCACTGGTCTCCACCAAGGCTGGGTTCTGTCACATCTGTTTGTGTTGTACATGGATAGAATAGTAAGAAACAACCAAGGCGATGAGTGTATCAGCGTTGGAGATGTCAAAGTGAAGAGGTTACTATTTGCAGATGACCTTGTTTTTCGCATCTTCTGAAACTGATCTACAACGCTCTGTTGAATTGTCTAAAGTCGAATGCGACATCGGTGACGTGTGTGAAGGTGTCTAAAATAGAAAGCCTAGTGGTTTCTGGTTCTTTTCCCTTTTACGTTCTGCCGATAAACAGAGAAAGAACGAACCAGGTGGAGAAGTTCAAGTTCTT